CTGCTCACCAGCCTGGGCCCGCAGCCTGCCCTCCCACCTGGAGCCTCCAGCACGCAGGCTTTCTGGGGGTCTGTGGGCACCTCCAGCCCTGTGGGTCCCAGCCTGAACTACTTCTCCGTCTCTTGCCCCAAACTGTGCCACCCACAGCCTTTGCCGTGTCCGATAATGGCAGCACATGCTCCTGACTGAGAGGGTCAAAACCCCTGTAATTGTCTTTGATGCCTCTTTCCCTCAAACTCCACGTCCTGGGAGTTCTGCCAGCTCTACCTTCAAAATGCATCCAACATTGAGTCACCTCTTGCCACCTTCGCAGCTGACTCTCTTGTCCCAGCTGCCATCAGCCCCTGTCCGGATTACTGCACAGTCCTTCCAACCAGCCTTCCACAGTGTGTTCCCACAAGCCCAGCAGGGCTGCTGCCTCACTTGGAGGGGAAGCCCCAGCCTTTGTGAAGGTTCACAGGCCCCGGGGATCTGGCCTTCCAGCCATTCTGCATGCAACCTCATTGTGTCTCACATCTGCCCTCAGGCCTTTATACTTGCTGTTCCCTCTGTCTGGAACATTCCTTTCATAGATATCTTCGTGGCCAACACCCTCACCTGTTCCAACCATTCACCCAAATGTCACCTGCTCTTTGAGGCTTGCCTTGGTCACCCTGTGAAATTACAGTTGGCACTCCCAGCCCACTCACTCGGTCCTACTTTGTTACAGACACTTAATTACCTCCACCACACTGCATGAAGTATGAAACACTTGGTGTTTATTGTTTGATTCCTCCCCCACCTGGAACGCAGGCTCATGGGTCATCAGGGATGTCAGGCTCTAGAACAGCACCTGCTCAGAGTAGGGGCTCCATAGCTACTTGGTGAATGAAGATCAGTAACATGACCTCTTACGCATTTACAAAGAGTCAACACCAAGGGAGAAGCAGCATTGCTGGCTGTGGTCCCCACTCTGGAGGAGCTCACCGTCCATATGGAGAGAAGGCCTTGGCAATGAAGACTCTGTGAGCCTTTGCAGAGTGACTCCACTGGGCCTCGGGAATCCCATCAGCCAGCAACTGACTTGTTACTGCTAAGGGCTCAGGTCCCCCAACCCCAACAGGACAGAGGTCAATGAAGGGCAGGCCGGAGCTGGGAGAAGGTGTGGGTATTCCAGCCCCAGAGGGCTACCTGCCACTGCCTCCATGTCCTCAAAGCTTCCCTCAGCTCCCACCTGCTTCTTAAATTCACACTTTCAAAGTGACTCCTTACAGGAACCTATAGCAAAACAAGCCCCACTACAGGCAGGAAGGACAGAGGACACAGGCAATGAAAGACATAGAGTAGACAGAAAAGCCTAAAAGCAGCTCCCGCTGAGGTCAGAAAGTCTGGGGAGGGAGGAGCAGCCTCCAGCCTGATCAGAGAGGTGGGAGCTGAAAGGTCCTGTGGGGACCAAGGCGCCCAAACATGGCTGGAGCCACTCAAACTCTCCTGCTAGTCGTCCAGCCACACATGTCATGTCCACAAGCAGGGAGAAATCACAGGGCCAACACCTACCCTGTGGTGGATGCCGTAACTGTAGGGGGCTAAATGGGGATGGAAAACGAGCTTCAATTTTCTGTGTAAATAAATTGAAATTTATTTTGACAGACAATGACTCCCAGTGCTGAGAAGGTGTCTGAGGAGATGCCCAGGTCCAACAAGCAGAGAGCGCCAGTGGGTTGTCTGTCCTGGGCGTGGGAGGGAGGGCCATGGTGGACCCAGGCTGCCAGCCCACTTCCTCCCTATGCACCCCTTCCTGCCCCGGGGAGGCGGTCAGGGCTCCCATGGCCGGCAAGCTTGAGAGGGTATGCCAAAGCATTGGGGCCACGTGGGTGCTGGGATGACAGCAGGCCTGGGGTCTGTGACCTGCAGGTGAGGAGGGGCATGGGAATGTGACATTTTAGAGGATAAAATCCCTCCTCTAAGTGACCAAGCAGAAGCACATCAAAATCTAAAAGTTATTCCTACATAAAATTCTTTGACATTAGGTTGGCAATGGATCTTTTAAAATGAAATCCATTAAAAATAACTGGCTTAACAGGCAAATACAACCCACCTAACCTGCCTAGAGATGAGCTGTATGCCTCCTGCTCCACACACCACATGCTCCCATAACAGAGGCTGGAAGACCCCAGAGGCTTCCCTTCATGGAGAAGGGGGCCACCCTTGTTCTTTCTGCCCCAGTTTAATCTGGAGAGTCATTTCATAACTGAGGGAGGACTCATAGCCTCTCTTTGAGGTCAAATATTAACTCAGAGGGCAGGAAAACAAGTTAGCGTAAGCTTGCAGGGAAGCAACCTGGCGATTTGTAATAACCTACAGATATCGCTTCGACAGAGTCTGCACAATCAGAGACGAAGACAAAGGTGTACACACAAAGATGTCTGTCAGGCATTCTCATCATAGTAACAAATTAAAGGTAACCCAAACATGGGAAGTGGTTAAGTAATAAATTATCATATCGATGGGATATTGGGTACCTATGAAAAATGTTTACAAAAAGCGGTTTTAATGTGAGAAAAGTTTCTGATTTAATATTGACCTAAAATCCGAATGCAAGATTTTATTTACAGTGTGGGCTCAATTAAGAAAAAGAAAACAGGGGCACCCAGAGTCTGGGTGGCTCAGTCCGTTGAGCATCCAACTTCGGCTCAGGTCTTAATCTCCCTCCCAGTTTGTGAGTTTGAGTCCCACATGGGTCTCTCTGCTGTCAGCCCAGATCCTGCTTTGGATCCTCTGTCTCCCTCTCTCTCTGTCCCTCCCCTGCTTAGGAACGCTCAGGAGTGTGCTCAGGCACTCTTTCTTTCTCTCTCTCTCTCTCTCTCTCTCTCAATAAATAAATAAATAAATTTAAAAATATATAAAAAAGAAAAGGAAAACAAATTTAAGAAACACCAGAAAGAAAAATGTAATAATGCTAACAGCAAGTAGGAGAATTAGGGGTGAATTTTCTGCATTATTCCACTTTCGATTTTCCAGATTCACTACAATGAATGACCACAGAATCAGATAACATTTAATTTAAAACTTGTTTTGAATAATTAAAAAGCAGGAATGGTATTTCCCTTCAGAGGTGGGTCCCAGATTTGAAATAGAAACCAAGGTAGCCCCACCTTCTTACCTAGATGACAGCTCAGTTTCCTGTGGAACCACGGAAGCAGGTGTACAGGAGAGGCGACTCAGGCTGGGGGGACGTGATGGGAGCCAGCCCCAGCCCTGGCCCACAGGGCAGCCTAGGGTCATGGAGCCCAGGCTGGAGGAGGGAAGGGGCCATCCAAGGACACCCAGCAAGGAGCAGCAGAGAGCCTGCAGGGGGCTCCGTGACACCCTAGTTTATAGAAGCCCATGTAGAGTAGGGTTAAGAGCCAGCATGGAATCAGCAGGCCAGGTTTGAATGCTGAGTTCACCACCCTCAGCCCTAGCATATTGAAACAGTTACTCAAGCCTCCCTGTGCCTCAACATAGTCATCTGTAAAAGGGGACAATAATAGTTCCTAACTCAGGAGGCACACAAGTGCTCAATCAATAGCAGCTCTTCTTTCAGTCAGCAGGGTCACTAGCTGAGGGAGTGAGGTAACACTATTGAACCTCATTGATGTCTCATTTTTTCCAAGGTCCATCTACTGGGGTGTTCGCCTGTCCTGGCAGTAGATGCCAAATGTCATTCTGCAGGCCTCAGGGTCCCCTGGAAACCTAAAAGCTATGAATGCCCATCCCCTCCCCCAGCAGCCCCAGTTCAGTAGGTATGGATGGGCAGGGCCTAAGAATCTGCATGGTAAAAACACTCCCGTTCTGCCTCACACCCTGCCCCGGGGGCTCCTTGCTGTCAGGGTGTCCACTCTCCCTGGATGGGAAGCTCAGTTTAGGGAACATTAAGCAGCATGTGCCATGAAAAGTTGTCCTCCTTGTTGGAGGTATTCCTCTCTCCTCCCTCCAAGCAGTCCCTGAGGTTGTGGAGACAGAACCAATTCACCACTATTGGCAGGTCCTAGGATTCATTGGGTTTTATCATTAAGTTAAAGGAAAAAAAAAAACCACAACACTTAGCTTCATCCAGAAGAACCCAAGCTTTTCTGTGCATGCACTGTTTTGAGTGAGTCCATCCAAACCATCGCCATTAGATCTATAAATGGATCTCCAGGCTGGTGTCATGCATACTGGCTCCAGAAACTCCCACCCTCATCCTGTATTACCACCTCCCCATGACAGTTCAAAATTGCTCACAGAGCAAGCCCTGCCTGTGATCCTACACCTCATTTTATTAGGCTGCCTGGGTTATCATCCTAACACAGCTCAATTAAGCCCTGCATTTGCCACTCTGTGGAGAAGATTAGAAGGTTAGGATTCCTGTCTGGAAGCCTGAAGAATCATGTGTCCTAGGAGATTCAAGTCATTTAAATCCTCTGTAGCCAGGAAATCATGCAACCTAAATGAACTACTCGCTTATGTAGGGTCTTACTCAAAAATGTATAGGACACAGCAGCTGCCCTCCAGCAGCCAGGCTGGTGGAGAGATAGACTGTCTTCATCTGTTTGGGCTGCTAGAACAAAATCCACAGACCAGTGTCTTATGAAGAGCAGAAACATACTGCTCACAGTTCTGGAGACTGGAGGTCAAGGCATTGGCAGGTCAGGTGAGGGCTTCTTTCAGGCCAAAGGATGCTAATTTCCTCACACAGTGAAAAGGGGCTAGGGAGCTTTATGGGGTCTTTTATCAGAGCACTAATCCCACTCTTGAATGCTCCACCCTCATGACCTAAGCCCTCCCCAGAGGCCCTCTCTATGACCTAAGCCCTCCCCAGAGGCCCCCTCTCTATGACCTAAGCCCTCCCCAGAGGCCCCCTCTATGACCTAAACCCTCCCCAGAGGCCCTCTCTGTGACCTAAGCCTGCCCCAGAGGCCCTATCTCTGTGACCTAAGCGCTCCCCAGAGGCCCCCTCTCTATGACCTAAGCCCTCCCCAGAGAGGCTCTGTCTACTGCATACCATCACTTTTGGGTGTTCAGATTTCAACATGAATGGGGGGGGGGGGTCACAAACATTCAGGCCATAGTATAGATCCATAAACAAATACTCCTATAATCTGACAGCAAGAGCCTCCAAAGCAAGAGCAGCAGCTTCAAGTGTGCAGAGGTGAGAGGCCCATGGAGGTAGGCTCCCTGAGGTGGGTGAGCACACCAGGCAGAAGTTACTAGAAGTTACTAGGGAGCTAAAGGACCTGGACAGAAGGGAAAGACATTCCAGGAACAGGGACCACCTTGTGCAAAGGTGCAGAGGCAAGAAGGAAAGAAGGAAAGGTGGTTTGAGAGGGAATGATATGCCTTGGCTCCTCCTTTAGGAATGAAGGCTTCATTCTCCAGTTGCTCAAAGTGCAGCCCCTGGGGACTGCCTAGGGCCACACCCCTTCCCCAGATGGCCACATCCATGACTGCTGGACACACTCTCACACAGACCTGCTCCCACCCCTTGTCCCAACTCCACTGCGCTCTCATGGCCACCCCCAGCTCTCTGTGGGGCCAGCTGAGTCACTGCAGCTCAGCTGGGCCCTCTGCCCAAGCCTGTGTCCTGCCCCTCCTTCCTCAGGTGCAGACCCAACACTTCCTAAACTAATCTGCACCTCAAGTTAGCTTGGGGGAAACTTCTTGCTTCCTGGAGCCCAACCTGCAGCAAACTGCAAGTCACTTGGCAGTGCCTAGCAAACATTTTTAAACAGTGGGAAGGAAAAGAGCTCAGTCTTCAGACTTTGGGAATTACTACCTGGATAAATTAGCAGGGACTGACCCTGGGCTGAGAAATAAAGGTTCAGACACCATTTGGTACTTCATTTTGTGGTGCCTCAACCCAACCCTCTTTTTTTCCATCCTCTAATGCAGACACTCAGTTGTTTGATTTCAAGCCACCAAGAATGTTCAAAGGCAGTGCCTGTGCTGAAGAAGCCTAGGAACTCTGAGATCCAGCCCAGTGAGCTGCGGCCCAGAGAGGTGAGGTCCTGTCCCAGGCCACCCACATGGGAGAGCCACAATTACAGCCCGTGTCTGAATCCCAGCTACAGAATCCTTTCTACTCTGCAGTTTTGACACATGGTGCATTTAGAAAATTCTAAAGTTGTTGTGGCGGACTGAACCCCACCCCCCGCCACCAAGATGACCATGCCCTGATCCCTGAAACTGTGAATATCACTTTTTTTGGCCAAAGGGACTGCAGGCATGGTTAAATTAAGGCCCCTGAGATGAGAACATTTTCCTGGATTATCCAGGTAAGCCCTAAATGGAATCACAAGGGTCCCTATGAGAAGGAGGCAGGAGAGTCAAATGCAGGAGAGTCTCTGTGACCATGAAAGCAGAGACTGGAGTCATGTAGGCAGGAGCCAAGGAATGTGTGTTGCTTCTAGAAGAAGCTGGAAAAGGCAAGATTATCCCTTCTTGTCACCAGGAATGAAAAGTTGTATGTCTGTGGCCTGGGTCTGAACTCCCTAGTGTCACCATGGGCTCACAATGAGGGAAACCATGAAAGGGGTTTCTAACAGAAGTAGGTGTTTGTGCCCCAAACTCACAACTTCCAGAAAACAATGAGCCAGAGCAAGGAGCCGATATGGTTTAGGGGAAGTGTCACTGAGAAGACCATGGACATGTGACAATGCAAATGGGTGTATCAGCAGTGAGGCCCACGTGTGGGATTCCCTGGGCTTTCTCTGTGGATAGTGGGCAGACCCAGCTGCTATGCACTTCACATAGCCCAGGCTGACAGCCACCCAGGGGGACTCCTGAGATCAGGGAGCAAGCTGTGCCAGACCCCAGGTGAGAAGGAATGTGGTTGGGTCAGCTGCTGCAGGCAAGGACCCCTCAGCAAGCCAGGCAGGAGAGATCAGTGAGGCAGAAGGGAGCCCCCACACACTTCCTGAGCAGCTGCCCCAGGAGACATCTGTCTGCCTTGATTTAAACCTCAAAAATCAAAATATCGATAAACAAATACAGACTGAGACAGAGCTGGCTGAGACAGAGACCAGGGAAGAGGTGCTGACAGGTTTTGGGTTATCTTGTTTTTTGTTTCTTACCAGTATGTTCTTTGGTACCAATACCACACACGTATCTTTTAGCAAGTGTATGCAGCAAGCCCAGCACATGGTCTAGGAGCTGGGGCCACTCAAGGGAGCAAAACTTGCAAACTCCCTGCCCTGGTGGGGTGCTGGCAGCTAAGGGCTGAGTTCAAACCCAGGTCAGCTCTATCCCAAGGTCTGTGCTCACTTCACTGCCCTCCAGGCTGGGCCAGAGAGCAGTGTAAGGGCCCAAGGAGCAGATTTTGTAAGAAGATTGCAGTCCAAATACAAAAGGCCCTTCTTCCAAAAAGGGGGAAGGGAGGAGGAATCTGGGTTCTGACCCAGACCCTGATGTCCAGGGGCACAGGGAGCTCCCACCACCCTGAGAGAAAGTGCTTCATCATCTCAGGCTTGAGCTGGAAAAGGTGACCAGAGACTGAGGAGAGTGGCCAGCAAGTTTCAGCCCCCACCCTGGTGGTCTGTCCTACTCAGTCAGGTACAGGAAGGTATCTCACCTGGGCAGTGAGAACACTTCTGCCCGCTCCAGGGCAACTGCTGGCTGTGCTCCTCCCCGAGGATCTGGCCCTGCCAAGCTCAGCCCCATTTCTTACCAGTGGCCAGGGAAAATGGGACCAGGCCTGCTGTGCAAGCTGATGACGGGCCACACCTTTCATGCCAAAGCCCCTCCTAGAAGGAAACAAGTTCTGGGACTTTAAGCCTCGGAGGCCAGAGGAGAAACAAAGCTCCCAAAGGAGATATGAAGCCTCAGGATGACCCCATGCCCCAACCAACAGCAAGCACAGCTGGGCTTGCATTCCACACCTGGGGAAACTGAGACACAAGGAAGGAGCTGGGCCTAAGAGCTGTGTTCTGAGCCCTGGAATGAGAAAACGGAAATCGGGAGGCTAAAACTGATCCTATCAGGTGGGCCCCAGGAAACTGTCTCCCCGGCAAGTTATGTGCAGACACTGGGCCCCCTGCCCAATCCAGTTATGGACTAATGGTCCCCAGGACACTGCAATTTAGGGAAGGAAGGAGGGGTTTCCTTCCTGAATCCTAGGAAAAAAGAAACAACAATAATGGCCCAAATGTTGAAGGCAAAATAGCTTCCTCCTAGAAGGAATGGTTTTAAGAATCATAGAAAGAAACAAAGACACACAGGCTGATACACTCCTGGACAGACCTAGGAGCAGCCAGAACCCTGCTGGAGACACATGCCAGGAAAGATGCCACTTCCCTGACTTCTGAGAATGCCCCCAGCACCCCAGAAGGGATCCCTCCATGTACTGGGCTAATTTCAAGGCTCAACGGTTGAATGTTGTGAGGCCCAGTGGTCACACTGCATATACCCAGGCCAGCATCAGGCTCAGGACTGAGAAGGAGCCTGCCACCCACCCAGTAAGCCTGGCCCCCCAAGCCTGAAGGCCACCTGATTACATGCATGCGTCAGCACGGTCCCTGGGTCTGTGTTTTAAACAGTGCTGCAGGGGGTTCTGACATCCATCACACCCATCTGTGAGCTTGAGTAAACCCCAGGACAGAGTCCCACCCTGGCGTGAGCATATTCTATGGACGGCCCACTTGGCACAGCTGCTTTCTTGCCCATGAGAACATGGTCACTGTGAAGTTCACCCTGGAAGGCCAAAAGTCCTCCCCTCAGAGCAGGGGCACGAGGACAAAGCCCTGGGATGCCTGGCCATGCTGCACTGCAGAACCTGGGATAGAGGAAGAGTAACTGACAAATGCCATTCTCCCACCTCTTATCCTGGGAAGTCAGCTCCATGGGGACTAATGATCCAGAAGATGTAGTAATGGATGAAACTCCACTTGAGGTCCTAGGCCTGAGTCTGATGCCACCTTGTACCCCTGCGTCCACAGACCCAAACAGTGGGCACTGGGTTCATTCAGAAGTTCCCTGGAGTTCCAAGAGTGTGTCATCCATGGACCTAGAGCAGGGAAGTGCTGAGGCACGAGATGAGACACCTCTAAAAGGGGAGCATGGGACGGTTTCATCAGGAAATCTAGTGTCCCAAACCACCTGCTTCCTGATCCAGTTGGGCTCTCCTGTTAACTGACATGAGATGTTCTTTTTCAACAAAAATGTTTTTTTAATTAATTAATTTATTTATTTATTTTAAGAGAGAGAGAGGGAGGGAATGCGAGCAGGGGAGGGGCAGACAGAGAGGGAGACAGAATCCCAAGCAGGCTCTGTGCTGTCTACGTGGAGCCCGACTCACCGCTCGATCTCCTGAACTCTGAGATCGTGACCTGAGCAGAAATCAGGGGTCGAACACTTAACAGGCTGAGCCACCCAGGCACCCGTGAGACATGATGTTCTTAATCTCCCTCCAGTTTGGTTAGCTTTTGAAAACCTGACCTTGGGCTGTGGCCTGGTGACAGCACAAGGTCACGCTGGCCCAGCCTGGTGATCCAGCCTGTGAGGCACCTTCCCCCAGCAGTGACTCCTCTGTCCTGGTCCCCCAGCCGCTCTCTGCTCTGCAGCTTCCACCTCATGTGGATGGGACCCCACTCTTCCCCTCTGGACCAGCCCTTTCCAGGCACAGCCTCTGTATCTGCCAGCACCCACACGAGGCAGTGGGAACAAGCACCTGTGTCCACCCCTTCAGCTCACCCTCTGGGGCGGCCTGCCTCCAGCACACGTGTCTGACCCTACACTGGATGCCCCAGCTGTTTGGTGCTGGTGTAACCTGAGCAGAGCCAAGGAGATTGAGAACGGGACACAAGGGAACGCTCAGACATAGGGAGGACCCTACATCCCTCACCGCCACAGAGCTTCCGGAAGGTGCATGACCCAGGCCTGGGCATAGCAGGACCCACCACACAGAGCTGGCTGCCAAAGTGGCTGGGGAGACCCCAGCGTGCTGGCATGTGGCGCAGCCCACATTCCTCATCCAAAGGGGGGCCCAGGCCTGCCTCGAGGGTGCTTCAGGTCAGCTCCATGGTGATGGGCTCACTGGAGAGGTGCGGCAGCCCAGACCACACAGAGAACACTACCTCCCAGCCCTTGGGGAGCTGAGATGGACAACGGGAGAGCTCCAGCATGCACCCCTGATCCAGCCTGTGAGGGGACCACCTAGTGCAGCAGGTGGGATGTCCCACACCCTGCCCCTCCCACACTGGCCAGCGACCCTGGAGCTCCCCACATGCAAGGCTCTGCAGGAGGAGGCCTCTGTGAGCACAGAGCCACCTCCCTGTGAAGAAGAGAGACCACTTCACTGCCTTCCACCCATTTTGAGGAAAACAAACCCATCCAGGGAAGAAACAAGGTAGCAAACGGGCCTTCTCAGCACTCGGAGAATAGGACACAGGAGGCTCAGGGCCATGTTCTGAGCACCTCTGGGCCTTTTGGGACAAACTCTCGTTCCCCCTTCCTTTGAGTGTCAAATGGAGCCACCACATCTGTTTCCATTCAGAGGGTCAAAGCTGGCACGGACCCAGGAGGGTGACAATAAGCTGGACTCTGGATCATTCATGTGGAACTGTGGGCAGGTCTTTCTTGGGCTCAGGGTGCTCCTTTGGAAGTTAGAGGAATCACAGCTCTCGGCTTCCTGCTGGGGATGACACTCAGTGGTGACCAAAACCTGGTCAGGCCTCTCTGGGCCCCTTCCACTCAGCTTCAGCCTTGGCCTCTAAAACTGCAACTTTCAACACCAGCAATGTCCCTCCACCGCCCACACACCCACTGAGGGACTTGAACAAACTAACGTGGCTGCTAGCAGCCTGAGGCTGCATCTCTGGGACACAGCAACCCCCTGCAAACACCTGCTGAAGAAAGCTAAGGCTGCCAAGAGAATTTGCCATGTGCTTCAGCCGACATCTGAATGCAGGCAACTGACCCCCAAATAAGGCAGTTCCTTCAGAAAACTTAAAATTGTAAATTCTTCCTCTGCGGGCCCTTCTGTTGAAAGGTATTGTATTTCCTACCACGCAGGAGTATATTTCTCAAGGACTCCTGGGCCAGCCCTTTGAAATGTGGTCATCAAGAAGGACAGGGCCCCTCCTCACAGAGTCCAGGGAGGCAGCCCTTCAAATCTAGTTTAGGCGAATGCCAGTTACCAAGCACAGCATCCACACTGACCAGCCCTCTCACCCACTTTCTGGAATCTTTCACTTGCCTGACTCTGCTCAAGCCTCCAGTCCCTGGTTCCCCCTTAGAATCCCAGACACCTCTGTTCCAGTCAGAAGGGAGCTCAGCTCCTCCCCTGCTGCAGGGGTGCAGACTGACACCTGTCCTCACCAGCATCTGGCCCTGTGTGCCTCAGGAACTACCTCAGCCTCGGTAGACCGGTGGAGAGCGGCTGTGTGATGACCAGAAGGAATACACGTGCACACCCTAGAGGAGACTCAGACACGATGAGAATCAGGGCCATACCGCACCTTTATAAGGCCCCAGCTGTGTGCTGGGCACATCTGTGGTCACGAATGTGAAAGTCTCCATGTCTCCAATCTACTAAGAGGATGATCTGGAAATATAATCCAGGCCCATCTGACTCCATAAACCCCCAGGTTTCCTCCCAGAACCAAGTGGCAATGTGTAAAGAAGCCACAAGTGTTAGGGGTGCCATGTCAGGGACTGAAACACTTTGCACAGACAGAATACCGTGCTCCACTCTGGTGGAGGAATGTAATGGTGGAGTCTCCAGGTTTTCAAAGAGTAATACCAGGGCAGCCACAGACCCTGTCAGTGAGAGTGACGAGGGCGGGTGGGGAGAGAGGGAGGGAGGGAGGGGAAAGGAGGGAGAAAAAGGGAGGGAGAGGGGAGGGCATTGGGGGGAGAGACAAGGGTTGGGGGAGGCAAGTCTGAAATTTTCAAGTGGTTTCCTGCCCTCTTCCTTCCTCAGCCCCTCCACATCCTTTCCCAAAAGGAAACCATGAGGTGGGGACAGCCCTGGAAACTGATTCCCACTTGATTTTCAAGAGGAGCCACCTTTCTGAGCAGAGAGCCTCCATGCCAAGCTTTTGTCTGCAAGGAGTTTTTCTGTGAATTTATTAGAAGCTGAAGAAATGCTGACAGAGCAGTTTTGCCCAAGCCAGCAGGCTTCCAAGTGCACCTCATTAGACTAGCTTCCTGCAGGCAACAGGGAACAACAGGCAGGGGAGGCTGAGGTGGGTGACAGGGGACAGGCAGAGTGTCGGGGCCCACCCCTGGTTGGCATGGAGGGAGTGTTCACAGAGCACAGCTCCCCAGAGGAGCAGGAAGAACCACAGGGCTCTGCACAGCCACCTGCCCACTCAGGTCATGCCAGACTCTCAGGACATGGGAGGCTGGAGGGCAGGCAGACAGAGGAACCACAGGACACCAGGTTCCCAAGAGCTGGTTCTCTCCCACCTCCCCTGCCCCCATGCTCCTTGTTCATTTCAGGACAAAGGATTGCACTTGGAAGAAAGGACCCTTTCCCCTTGAGACCCCAGCTTTTCTAAATTCTTCTCGATTCACAAAGTAATCCCATTTTTTCAATCACCCAAGTTCCACATATTTTAATGTTTTCTTAAAAATAAATAGCAATCCCTGCGGTCATGAGGACTCAGTATGTGGCAGGCAGGCCTGAGCAAAGCCTGTGGCTCCCTGGTCACAGTTACTTGTTCCTGCCAGCCTCATCAGAACAACCGAACAGCCGTCTGAGGTGTTACAGAGGAGGGACCCCAAGATGAGAGACGTGAGGGACTCCTGGAGTCACACAGAGAATGCAGCAGAAGCCATGGACTTGGGGCTCACGTTCAGTCACTGCTCCACAGCAAGTTCCTACCTTAGAGTATTTCCACATTCTCTGTCTTGTTGATTTTTATAAAACCTGATGAAGTAAGCAAGCAAGAATTACCCCATTTAACAGATACAGAAATGGAGACCCACAAAGGGCCTTGCAGGAAGCTATGGAGTCAGTGAGATAAAGCCAGCTAGAGCCTAAGTGTTCCGTGCCTTAGCCTACATGTCATTCTACCTTGCCAAGTAAACTTTGCTCTGGAAGCGATTGTTGAAAAATATTATTGGTCGGGGCGCCTGGGTGGCTCAGTCGGTTAAGCGTCCGACTGCAGCTCAGGTCACGATCTCGCGGTCCGTGAGTTCGAGCCCCGCGTCGGGCTCTGGGCTGATGGCTCAGAGCCTGGAGCCTGCTTCCGATTCTGTGTCTCCCTCTCTCTCTGCCCCTCCCCCGTTCATGCTCTGTCTCTCTCTGTCTCAAAAATAAATAAACGTTAAAAAAAATTAAAAAAAAAAAGATAGAAAAATATTATTGGTAATGTGATGCTGTGACTGGATGTTTCATGAGGTAGGAGAGACATCATTTGGGTAGAGGAAGGGGTGTGAGGAGAGGTCAGGAGGCTGAGAGGTCTGGACTTGGAGAAGGGCAGGGAGCTGCCGGGAGTGGGTGGGAGGCTCCACAGAGAAGAAGGAGAGCTGGGCGCTGCCAGCCAGGTTGCCTGGATGGTGACCACCTTCCCAGCCACATAACTGACCGCAAGGCCCCACCCATACCTCCAGCAAGAAGAAGATAAGAGTGAGGAGAGCCTCAATGCTGGACATTGCCGCATCTTCACATTGGGAACCTAATCCTCACACACACCCCAGATGAGGCGTGCTCACCCCTGAGTCTCTCCGAAGAAAGAACCCAGAGACCTCCTTATGATTTCACCAAGCCCCAGCAGCTTTAGGACAAGCCCGATTTCCTCCAGCTATCAGTGACCCGTTCTTTTAATACCTCCCCACAGTTCAGTGACTAGTTCATCCTGTGTGTGTGCACGTGAGTGTATGCATGCACACGTGTGTGTGCCCCTGCTCCCACGCTGTGGCTGTGGGGTGCGAAGGATGGAGGCAGGAGACCTGCTCAGCACAGCCACCCTGACACGAGCCCAGCAGCCACCCTGCTCAGTGTCTCACCGCCTTCTGCTAGGAAAATGATCACTAAGGCTGGATTTTGCCCACAGATTTGGATCCCAATGAATATTTCCAGCAAAAGTCATGTAAATTGATTTGTAGAAAAGGCAAAGATGGAGAAAAATGGGAGGCTGCGGACTCTGAATTCAATACCAAATAATCTAATATGCCCAATTGCATTTTCTTTCCTTACCTTTGATGTCTGCAAGCAAATCATTGGCACT